CCCCCTCCCCCTTACAAATCCTTGGCTGCCTGCCATTGGCGGGACTCAGTCAGGTGTCCTAATGCTTCAGTTAGGGGAGGAAACGCTGGTTAATCTGCCCATCGCGTGCCACTGGCCATGACCTGGCCTCTTTGTGTCTGGCACCCCTCTGATCAGTCCCTCCATCCCGTCATCTGCCCCCCCACCCCACCTCCTACACACACCCCACCCCTTTTCTTCCAACCCAGTTTCTCCTCCTCAAGACAGTGCCATCCTGCCCAAAACATCAACCCCATACAGTCTTTCGAGACATGTTTAGGTACTTCTTCAACGGACGCACCCATTCCTTGCATTACGTCTTCATTTCTGCTGACTCATCGTTTGCGTCTTTCACACCTGCATAAAAGCTGCTTCGGCTTGTCCATTTTGCTCGCAGAATGCGTCCAACCTTTGGTTGCTGTATCGAAAGTACAAGTCGTGTTTTTCAGACGTTTTTTGGTCGGTCCCAAACCAAACTGAATTTTTAGGAACGATCCAGACCAGTCAAACATTACAAATTACCACTACCGAAAACTGGTTTATCACAGATATTCCCTTAAACCTCTCTCAGGGAAGAGCTTGTTCGATCTCATGTATCTCCTGATGCAGGCCCAAGTTGGGCCCCAATGTTTAGATGCAGTCCAGGAGGGGCTAACATGGTGGTGTTGCGTAATCAGAGAGAGGTCATTACCATTTGACCCCTGCTGACCCTCCTTTATGATGGACCCTCGGTTTGGTCATCGCTTCAGAGCCCAGGCAGAAGTAGGAGGTCAGAGTTCAACGTGTCCTCAGCTGCGCTGCCATGGAAACCTTGGTGTTTGCTCATCTGATGGTCACCTAAAAAAAAGCGCATCGTTAAAATCTTTAATTTTGTTGTTTTATAAAGAAAATACTGTATTTTTTTAAACTCTCGTTTAGCGACAAATTCTGTTTTTATGGAGCTGCAGCACAATTTGAGGTGTTCATGGTTTGATCCTACTTTTGGAAAATACAAATGTTCCCTTGTGATGCTTTGACGGCAGTCTGCCTGGGTGTTGTTTTGACACTTTACTCATCTTTTTTTGTTTG